CGAAATTTGACGTTCGAGCAGTGAAACCGAATCCACTAGTCTACGTTACTGCATTGTAAACAATTTGCTAAGTTGAAATGGTTATGCAAAATGACGTACGCGAACTGTTTTGTAACTTAGTTTAATGGCTCGAAACTAGAACAATTTACTAAAATAATTTATTTAATAAGCGGTTTTCAATCTTGTTCTATCTAGTCTTATTTGATCCCTGCTTGTAATATTTATCTAGTAATAAAATAAATATCAAAAGGTGTTCAGGGAAAACCATAGTCGAGACAGGAAAAAATGTCTTAATGGTATTTGTCTGTATTTTTCAAACAACTAACAGTTTCAAACTTTTTGTAGTGGCAGTCTAGTTAAGTTTATGTATTTTTTTTTTAATTTTGCAGGTAATTTATTATAAACCAAAATTTAAAACTTGTACCATCTATTGCAGTGAGTTAATTTGAGAAATCGATCCTCAATATTATCACTAGCCAATTATTACTAATTCAGTTAGTTTTTACTAGTTGTTTAATTGTATTTCGTATTATTTGTAGACCAGATGAAATAATCAAATAACTATTGCGTCTTTGTTATCTTTTTGCTTAACAAATTAAATGTCGCTTAATAAATGAAGTGTATTACTGGAATTGAAAGTTAAAACATACCGTGCTTTTATCATTTAATTGACTCAAATTTGTCTAGCTTTAACTGGCCTTATACGTTACAAATTGCAATACGAAGCTGAATTCGTATTGCAATTTGTAACGTCTTGTCTTGAGATAAGTTTTATTTATATCAGAACCACCCGCCACTATCCTTTATCACTGACCCTAATGAAAATTCCAGAAAGAGAATTATCAATTATTGTGGGAATACAGCGTTTACCTGTTGATTATTTGAGCTGATGGTCGCCATTAAATTATAGGTCGCGTCAACATGGCAACATTTCGATTTTTCACATCATTTTTGACATCTAAAATATACACAATTCATATTTTAAATAACCTCTGTTTATATATTTTGTGATTAAAGTAAAGGCATGTTTTTTTCGATAGAAAGAACGAATAGCTCCTAAGCTTCTAAGAGAGTTTCTGACCTTGGAAGCCGGACGTCCAGTTCGACGACTAAACAACAAATGGATTTTTACAGTTTTTTTATGTGCTTTTTGTTTTTTTATTTTTCAAAACGTTTTGAGAATTAAAAATAGTTTTGGCACCCCGAGGTCTTCATTATTTTAATTTATTAATTACATTTTTCCTACAGAAACTCACCCAAAATAAGATTTTACCCGTTTGTTAGGCACAAAATTGAATTAAACTGAAAGTCAAAAAACATTTGATATAAATATGGTTCCGAAAACGTATTATCACCCAGGTTTGAAATTTTCCATATTTTTGTGTTTTTTTTGCATTTTATCTTTTTCCTTTAATTTTTTAAAATAATTTTATGTAAATAAACTTAACTCAATATTAGGATTGGCTCTCAAAATCAGATGTTACTAGATTGTCAACCGCAAAATTTAATTCTTGGCATTTTTAATACAGAAGTTAAAAAGTTCATACGCTTGGGCCCAAAATCCCTGACTACCGAGATACAAAGTGTCAAAATATCAAAAGTTTTGATGAATTGAGCACACCTAATACACTTTAAAATATCAATATTTGAGACCATTAAGGTTTTCTAGTTGCAAGGTGATATACCTCTAGGAGTGAAACTCGATTTAACCATCTCCACTTTTTTGTTTTAAATAAATTCGATTAATTAATTACTGAAAAGCACAGACGCCGCGAAAAACAATGTAGGTGGAAAACACATGTTTACTTGAACTGTTTCGAGCTTAGGATCACCCCTCCAAGTTGTTGCCGTGCATTTATCAATCACCCTGTATAATTACCCGCAAAGCAAGTCCACCAAACATTGTGATAAATTTTGATCGTAGTGTTTATTTAATTTGTAATTAAATTTTGATCTAAAATTGAAAATACTTTATGAAGCGATTGAAATTGAATTTTTTGTTTAAGTAATAGAATTTCAATGTTTTTTATTTGACGTGTAACTTCTCTGACGCGGGTCACCCGGAGCCGGAGTTTATAAAAAATAGGTAAGATCAAAATTTATCAAAACATTAAGTTGATCATTTATTTTAGCCGTGAAGATAAAATCATATTTCATTAAAAAAATTAGTTTTTGATTATTGCTTAATTTTAAGTTAACCTTTCATATAATCTTGAAAAAAGGTTTAATAAATTTTAATGCTCCATAAATTGCAAATTATTCACAATAATAATAATAATAATAATAATAATAACAATAATTATAATAATAAAGACTCCTAAAATTGGCTAAAATTGGATGTGTGAAAAAATGGATAGCACATTCCTGATCTTGATCGCTATCGTCTTTGATTTTCGAGCGATATCAGCAAGTTACATTAATGTCGCCTCTATTTACAGTTTTGTAACTATGTAACTTTTGGTTTTATATTATATTTATTTATATATTTAAATTAGAAGAGAGTGGTTATGGAATTAATAGTTAGACACATATGTCAGTTACGACCCGGGACGTTACTAAAATCAAAATTTATGAAATCATTGAGTGGATCAATTAGTTCGTCGTTATTACTGACTACTAAATGTACAGGGTCGCCGAATTTCTATGTTTGGATTGCAGATCTCGGTATCTATAAGAGACATGTCTTTTTGAGAGGAGTTGGAAACCAGTACTCCCTTGCGTGTTTTAATTTTGAGGGATTTCCATTAATGTAGATATCTTCCATGTTGCCAACTTACAAAAAAAATTTCATTCAAATTTGCCCACCATATTCTATCTCATCTATCTCATATTTAAAGTTCCGTCTTTTTCCCAAAGCCGTCTTTTTATCCTCGTCCTCGTCGATAAAACCTTATATTTTTTAACCGAAATATTGACTAATTAATCGATGTACTTCATCGATATCTTTTGTTCTTTTTTTTCATTTGGCTTTTGATTCAATACCTCCTCACACAGATCACCGTCCGAAATTATCCTGCAATATTGGAGTATTGCAAATTGCATCGGTGATATCTTCTACGGCTAGACGGGAGCATTCAAATTGCATCAATCTGTCTGAGGATGATCCAGTTACAATTTACCGAAATTATGCCACGTAATCTCTAGAGTTTCTATTTTTATTGCAGCAATTCGCGTATAACTCTCGTACTTTTTCGTTTTACCGCGGATAATTATATCGAACGTCATTTGGTTTGTTTGTTTCCATTTTGTGAATAATAACCTAGGCCAATGTAGATTATGTTTTATTTTAAGTGAAGGTTGCGCGGTTGCCGGAGTGCGGTCTATTGATATTTAAATAGTTTCGCCTTCGAACCTATTAAGCTCGCCTGTCCTAGACGGGTCTCCGTAAACAAGTTGTAAACGTAAAAAGTGTAACCTCAAAACTGCATGATAAGAGGATTACTCGCGACGTTATCACGCTTCAATTACCAGATTTTTTTTCGTTCAATTTAGAACGCGCGATGGTTGCCGTCGACTTTGACATTTATACTATAAGTTATGAAGCTTTTATCGTTATTTTTTCAAAATTACTTAATGTAACAATTATTTTTGAACAAATAGGTAATAAGCTCTCGATTCGCCTTTGTTTGATTCTTGTGGATCTGAAATGCTGAACGTAGCGAGCATTCATAGAGTTTTTAAAATAAGATATTTCTTCGACAGTTCAACGCTTTTGAGTAAACCTCAAAATAAAATACTCCTGCAAGTTCAAAATTTAATTTTCTTAAACTTTAATATTTCACAGTACCTTTTAAGCGCATTCTAGAGCAAAAATAGAATAAAACATGACATATGGTCCTGAACTTGTGATGCGTACAGTAACAATCCCGATCGTGCATTTGCCCCTTATCGCAGACTGTTTCAAATAGATGTTAGTGAAAAGCAGCGAACAAAGATCTGGCAAGTGTGCTAATTTCCGCTACAAAATGCTATCGCCGAAAAAGATATACCAAATTTTTCAAGAGGCAAAGGTAAAAGCTGCAAATACCGCAAAGTATTTGAATCTTTTTTTTTTATTGTAAAAAAATTGTAATCATTTCAAATTTTTAATTTTTTGATGTTAAATCAATCATTTTTCTATAAAACATTTCGCTTCCATTTTTTTAATGCTGTATTTCTTCTTCTACTTTAAAAGAAAAGGTCACAATATTACCTTGGGCAAATATACTTATAAGCTTTGTAACGTTGCAATTTGTAGAAAAAGTTCATAATCTTAATATTCACATTGAAATAATGCTTGAAACAAACTCAAATAATAATATCGAATTTAATAAATATGGTCTCCATAGACCTAAGACTGGTAGTTGTGTAACTTTAATGCACCCATTACGTTCAGAAATTGCAATAGCATATTGTTGATGCCAAATTTTATTCAATTATCGAAATTGCTTTGGTCCGTATCTCTAAAATATCCTTTTCCAAATACCATACAAAGGTTACTAAGAGCTACTTAAGACTACCAAAAAACAAATACCAAATAAATTTAGATTGATTCCGAATTGAAACGAATATTTTATGTGAGAAAGAGCCGTTTTGAGACGCGGTATACTAAATTGGTTATTGTGAAAGGTGTCATGGTAATGAATTATTGTTGAGCAATACTAAGAGTTCTAGAACACCGAGAGGCTGCCACCTTTATTACCTACCTGGGCCTAATACAACTTCGTTTCTGCTATTACTTAATTTTTAAAAAGAATCTACAATAAGTAATAACTCAATAAAATTACTTTTTCCATAAATAAATAAAGATATTTGAATACTTAAAAATACGCGCATCAAAATACCCCCTTATATAGATTTTTAAACTTTTTTTGCATATATTGAATTTTTAGATTATAATTTCGGATTTCTACTGCTATTGCTAAAAAACTAGATCTGTGTATATTTTTTTTTAATATTACTGTATCCTAAAATAAGTATTAAATTAGTATACAATGTTAAACACAAATTATTTCTTTCAGGAATTATGACCCTTACTCGCACACCCTGTGAGCTCGACAAGATGAGCCTTTTCCAAGATTTGAAGCTGAAACGAAGAAAGGTTGACTCACGTTGCAGCAGTGACGGTAAAACATCTCAACTCGCTAACAAATTAATTGGGACCCTTTTGTGTACAATCATAAAACGAAGACCAAACAAAAAATATTGTCGCATTTTCTTCGCTTCACGTTTTGCGACAATAATTGCAACTAGTCTAGCTAGTTAGTTAAGATTTTGCAAAATAATTAGATTTGGCTTTATAATCCCTCGAAGCTTTATATTGAATCCGTTTAAAACTGGGCTAGTTTCTGTCTGGAAATGTTTGCCTCTCTATTCCTGCTTATCAGTTTTACATTAAGTGCTTTGGAAATCGGTTTAGAGGTACTCGTTTTCGAAAAAGTAGTTTTTATTTGTTTCAATGTGGTATTAATTTCAATTAATTTAATCGATTTTATATTGATAATTTGCAAATTTTTTTGTGTGAGTCGTGTGTTATATCTTATTGCAAAAGAAATTCCGAATATTGAATTTCGAAAAAATTCAGTAATAATTTTTTATTTTAAGTGCTCGCATCATTTGCATGAACTTCGCGACTTTCATGTAGTTATTATTCCTAAAGAAATCAATATCCAGGCTATATTTCGCTCTATTGCTGATTTAAAGAAGGCAGAATTCAGAAAATAGACCTTCTATGTATAATTCTTGGGAATTAATAAAAATAATTTTTAATAAACGCAACGTAGCGTCTATTAAAATAAATCTGCAAACGTATTTTAATTTATTGTGTGTTTTTTTTTGGAAAATGCTTACAAGATTACAATTTTAGACAGAAGAAAAAGGGATTTATAAGAATCGGTAAAGTCTTTATTTTCTGTTTTAGTTTAGTATTAGTAGTTGCTTAGTGAACTTCGTGTCTGGTTTAAATGTTAAGTTAAATAATAAATAAAATTATTCTTCCATCTGGTGGCTCTCTTTTAAAACTTATTACTTCGTCAAAGTTGTTGTTTGATTTAAAACTGAGTAGATGATACTTTTTACAAAACTTCTGGATTCCTCCTGCATCGGTTTTTGATGAGTCGAACTTGCTTTTGTTATTTGGCCTCATGATCAAGAAACCCGAGTACATTTTCTGAGACATTTCAACTCTATACATCCTAACATACATTTTAAAACTGAGTTGGAAACTAATAATAACCTTCCATTCTTAGATATTCTTTTCAATAGAAAATCAGACCTAACAATGAGTCATTGTGTTTACAGAAAACCTACGCACACAGACCGATACCTTAATGCATGGTCACATCACCATCCGGCCCAAAAATCATCGGTTATCAACTTTTTTGTTTACAGAGCCGTAAAACTATCTCAGCCCGAGTCACTGAACCCAGAATTGACACACCTTACTTCTACTCTCCTCTCTAATAATTTCCACATTAAAGATATTAACCATTCCATCAATAAATACACTTCACCACAACCTTCCAATAGCAAGGTGGCCGAAAGCAATCCTACACTTGCTACTGTGGTCCTTCCTTACATTCAAAACATCACTGACCACATATCAAGAGTTCTAGAGAAGTGTAACTTCAAAACCAGATTTACCACTTGTCCAAAAATCTCTCATTATCTTCGGTCCATCAAAGACAGAATTCCATTTAAGATGCCAGGAGTTTACAGCATTCCATGCATATGCGGCAAAGAGAGACATAACGAAAAATATCAACTAGGTTCAAAGAACACGAAAGAGCCTTACGACTAAGGCAAGTAAACTTATCAGCCGTTGCCGAACACAATCACGAAACCGGACATATAATTTTATTCGATAAGACTAAAATTCTTGGATGTAATAAATTCTTCTACCAACGAAAAATCCGAGAGTCTATAGAAATCTATAAACATCCTAACAATCTTAACTGCGACTCAGGTCTTTATCTGTCACCAATATGGGAATCAGTCATCCGAGACGGTGTTTATGCCCGTCATTTAACTCCGCCCCCCTCAAATAATACATAAACAGGTACAGAGTAAAATGCGAGCCAGTTTCAGTCAATCTCTGAAGAAGCCAACAGGATGATTGGCGAAATGTCAGCAAGTTCGACTCAGCAAAAACCGACGCAGTAGGAATCCACAAGTTTTGTAAAAAGTATTACAGTAGCCTGTGGAAGTTTCTTTGAAAAATTCATGAGTAGATGATCTTATCTATAGGAAAAATATATTAATGCTCCGTCCCTTTTATTGTTCACACTTTAAGAAACTTAGACTAGGCAGCCATCAGCAAAATTTCCTTTTAGGCAATGTCTCTGTCCGCTTCTAGGCGAATCTGTCGCCGATACTAGTACGTCCTCGCCAGATTTGGTTTGCCCCGCGTCCCCGAAAATGTCGGAGACAGCGCTCAATCCACCGAGTCCGGACTCTACACCTCCGATGCACAACATAGTTGTCAAGCCCGAACCGACGGTGGATAAACTATCCAGTAGATTAGAAGACTCGGGTGTATTTGACGGAGGCGGTACCGATGGCGGCGGAACTACAACCAGCGTCATCCGAAGTTTGAGGAGCCAAAGTCCACCGACGCTCAGGCCTACTCCACCGTTCAGTCCATCTCAACCTCCCCGACCTCACAGTTCACCAGGGAGACCAGCAAACGCCAGTCCCGTTATCAAACACGCATCGTTGTTAATTCATCCCACATCATCACCCAGTCCGCCTCGGAATCCCACGCCGACCATAGTTACATGCCAAGAACCTACTTCATCAACTAGCGCAGCACTGTTGCAAACCAGGCCAAGGGGCGTAATCATTAGTCAACCTCAAAACATAGTGCAAAGTCAATTGTGGCTCAAGCACCAAAGAATAAACGGCGTCAAGCCAGAACTGATCGGAGGCACATTTGCTCCACCATCTCCTACATATCCAGATATTAAAGGTCCTGGCAGTCCGATGCCGCGAAGCAATACTACCATGCCAGTAAGACAAACCCCAACAGTGATAATGGGGGAGGCAGGGGGCGTGCGGACGATGATCTGGTCGCAGCCTAATCTTTGTACTACACCAACATCTCCTTCTAGTATAGAACCTCCATTATTTCCGACGACATCGTCGTGGCCACCGGCGGGAAGTCCTAACGTTTCGAACCCCGAAGAAAGTGCTGCCCAAATGTTGCTTAATCTTGGCCAAGACAATCGGTTGCGTTTGCCAGTAAGCAGAGCACTTTTATCGCCTCAATCACCGACTCAAACTGGTAGTCATTTTTCCACAGCGCCTTTAAATATGGAGCGGCTCTGGGCCGGAGACTTGCGGCAAATTTCTATCAATCAACAAACACAAGCTTTAAATCTTACCTCCCCGATCGGTCCAGGGCCTCAAACTTTATATGGTGGCAGTGGGGAGTTAAAACTACCCGGTATGTGCGAGCCAGCCAACACTGGCGAGCAACACGAGCAAGGGGAAGAAGAAGAGCAGCCTATGATTTGCATGATCTGCGAAGACAAAGCGACGGGATTGCATTACGGAATTATAACTTGCGAGGGGTGCAAGGGGTTTTTTAAAAGAACTGTACAGAACCGGCGCGTTTATACATGCGTGGCAGATGGAAACTGCGAGATAACGAAAGCGCAGAGAAATAGGTGTCAGTATTGCCGATTCAAGAAGTGTATAGAGCAGGGAATGGTGCTTCAAGGTGAGAGCCGTTTTGGGTTTGTTTTCAAGTGTACTCAGCAGTGATGTTTTCTTTCTTTAAATAGCTGTGCGGGAGGATAGAATGCCCGGGGGCAGGAATAGCGGAGCCGTGTACAATTTGTATAAAGTAAAATATAAAAAGCATAAAAAGCCTACGTCGAAGACGTTGACTAAGAGCCAAGCGGAGAGGAACATGCAACAACTTAAAACGGAACAGCAACAACAACAGCAACATCAAGCGCCTGCGATACCTTCTAACCTAGGTAAGAATGTCAATTGATCTTACCATTTGGTTGGTTGGTTATCAGTGTCGTAAAAGCGTTATACAATATATTTAAAAGCTCAGTCATTTTTTATTGCTCAATTTTCTCTCTCGTATCCTATTTGCAGGAATCAGAACTTCAAAGCGAAAAAAAAGTAAAAAATTATGGTAATTCATGTAACATAATTGTAATTTTTAACAAAAATGACACCCACATAGTTGAATATACCGTATGTGTTGCGATTAAATATTAGTACAATATTAAGTAATACAAGCAGATTGAAAATGATTAACGAGATTGCAGTGTACTTAGTTTTGAAAGACAGAAAACATGCCCCCCGGGCAATCATGAATAAAAATCCGATGTAATAACTCTAGTGTAACAGATTTATTGCTGCAATCACCTAAAATAGCGTTAGAATCGCACATACCTCAGTTTTAGAAATAAAAAACTATTTAAAAAATGTGTACCGTAAGCTATAATAATAATAATACATTTTATCGATATAATATACAATGCAATACACAATTAGCACAATTCAATTTAAGTTTGTTAAATTACAAAAATGCAATTTAAACCATCAGTGCCATTCAAAATATTTTGTTAATATTTCTCCCCTAACGGGCTCCAAAGATGCACATAAAATTATTTATTTTAATTTCCAGCTTAGAAACCACCCTGTAATAATATTTTAGTATGGCAAAGCTGCATGGTTTTCTGGTAAACTTAATTTATTTCCGTTTTCCGTGAGCGGAAAAATAAAATATTATTTCTTGATGTTTTTAAAGATTTCTCTTTTAAAATATATTCTTTATTTATTTTATTTAAATGTGCATGGTAAAGTTCGTGAACATTTGTGAAATAATATTTTTCCAACGTTTAGGTTCAATCTCCCCAAAGTTATTAAGGCGAAATATTAATTGAAGATTTTTGTGCATTGTCATTATATTTTTATAATATTCTGTTTCGTACACTTTATAAATAATACGTTTTTGAAGAAAAATCATCATTTTGAAGAATGCAGTCTCTCACATTCTCAACAGGACAATACATTCTGGAAACACGTGGTACTGAAGTTACATTAAAATAAACAGGGTGGTTTCACTTTGACATTTACCAAAATTTTGCATTTCTCCCTTTCTTAGTTTCTGAGTATTTCGTAAATTAAAGAAAAGAAGAAAAAAATCTTTTATAAAAAATGGTTTATTAGGCTAGTTATTGAAAAAATTCAAAAAATTTATTAAAACCAAACAAAATTTTAAAAAAATGGTTTTGCCTTGAATAGTTTCATTTTATCAGCTTATATATAATTACATAAATTATAATTTGTCTAGACCGTTATAAGCTTATCGTGAGATAACTTCAAGTAATGTTTTAATCAATTACTGAAACTCAATGCGAGTTCTTGTCACAAAAGTCTGTTAAAATTAACTGTTGCGAAATATATATTTTTTAAAGAACATAAACACACATATGAAGGATTTGTAAACAATCTCGTTGAAATAGAGGATATCTCAAAAAGTTATTTCAATTTTCCTTATAAAAAACTAATACCGATTTGACCTGTTGAAGCTCAGCAACGTTAGTACTGAGGACTTTTAAAGTATATAGGATACTACAATTTTGAAACAAGATCATGAAACCCAACCACGTGAAAACAAACTTTTCTTTTATATTTCCAAATTTTTAATTTCAGTCAACGGTACCATCCTGAAAACAGCTCTGACGAATCCGAGCGAAGTAATTCGGCTGCGTCAGCGTTTGGACAGCGCCGTGTCCAGTTCACGCGACCGAAACTTCTCATTTGAATATTCCGTATCGATGATAAAGACCCTCATCGAATGCGACGAGTTCCACGACATAGCCACCTTGCGTAATCTGGACGAATTGCTCGACCATAATACCGACCTTAGCGAAAAGTTGTGCAATATTGGGGACTCGATCGTATTCAAATTGGTACAGTGGACTAAAAGGTAACGAAGATTCGATTTTATATTCGAGATGAATATGTACATTGTCACAGAATATGCAAACAATACCGGACAAGCTGGACCTAATAGTTGTCTAGTCCAGAAAATCACATCTTAAACGCTTTAGAACCTTTAGAAAAAAATACAGAGGAGCATTTAGTTCAGTTATTAATTTGGATAATAAGGATTAGGATGCTGGGATTCATTTCTGATCTATGACAATTTATTCATGAGGATTTAAAACAGCCTTTAAACCAGCCTATTCACTGGCGCGTGACTCTTTGTATTTGCCTTAAAATCATTGACTAATACTAATCATTATTGGTTAAGTTGAATTATGTTTACATTTAGTTAATGTCTGCTAAATATCTTTTCACAGACAGGAAATAAAGATTTCCAATTTGGCTCTTTAGAAATAATTTTCAAAATATTATATCATATCTCAAATTTGGGACATGCTGTAAAAATTTTTCGTACTGTATGTGGAATTATTGACTATCTATTCTCTATTGCACAGTTTTTATAGGGGTTTTTGTATGGATTTGATTTTGTTGTTGAAGTGATTTTTGCCAGATATTGATCACACAGTTCTGAAACGGATTATAGTTGAAAAATGAAAACCACATCTTGAGAATTTCATTTCAAATGCCAAATTGTGGTGTGAAATTGATGCACATTTTCACAAATCCCATCCCAAATTGAAAACTTTTCAATACGCCCTCGTAGTTCATAAACGACTTGACATATTATTAAGCTACAGTAATTCACCTTTTACTTCGAGAAAAGGTGATCGAGCATTTCAAGCCTGGACGGTTCTTCTCTGTAGTTACAAAGTAAAAGCCATTAAAGTATGACATTTTATCTTTCAATCTTGAAAAAACAAGAAAATATGAGTAAATACAGGTGAAATAAAATTTAATGATAACTAAATGTTGGTATTAATGTGGGTATGAATGCAAGATATCAAGATAATGTTTTCACTATAGTATTTAGGTATGATTTCATTATATATTTATTGTTGCAATTAATGTCTTTGAAAATTTTTAGCGATGTTATTAAGATTTAGACATATCGCAGATAAAATAAGTTTGATATCAGAATCAACGTTACTAAGTCTATTATAATCTGTTAGAAATTACAGCTCCTTAATTTAAAAAAAAAATGCATATACAAAAAAGTGTTAAAGAAAAATTAGCATAGCATAGCTTTCAAAAGAACATTTAATAAATGGATTTTACAGATAAAACACTTTAAAAATTTAAGATTACCCACTACGGCAAGTAGGAAAAAAATCTTCGATTTTCTTTAGTTTAGTAATAACATTTTTCACCGGAAGTCTCGACGAATAGTTTGCATTGCATTCTTATCTAGCTTTACATTTATGGCGCAAATTTTGAAAGAATTTTTAATTCCTAAATAAAGATCTTATTATTCCGACAAAACTGTTGGGATAGTTATGTTATAGTCACTGAGTTTACAAGGTACAGATAAATAATATAAGTTTCTAATGTTATTTTTCTTCAAAACTCTTAAGATGACCGATTGTGGTCTAAGTGTGGTAAGTGCGTTATTCCACTTTTCCGCTACGTCTTAAGAACTACTACGTAATATTTAAAATAAGTATATAGTGTCTTGTCTCTCTATTATTCTAAACTAATACTTTTTTTTAAATATGCTTATTGGGCAATAATTCAATTAAAATGGTCTTTGTGCTTGTAGTCATGTATATTTTTTAATAATAACATTATCGAACGCGTACACCCACAACTGGAAAAAGCACCGAAAGATAGTAAATAACACCAAAGCAAATTGCGGATTGTTCAAAAATTTTCGAAAAAAAAAAGGTCGCAGTATAATTGTTCAGTGTTGATATATTCATCCGAAATTTACGAAATGGCAAGAAAATGAAATAGAATAGATAATCCGCAATTTTTTTATCGTCGTTTACTATTTCAAAGGTGCTCTTTCCAGCTATATAAAGATGTTCTAGAAGTTTATCAATGACACTTCTGATTTCGAATTTTGATGATGTTATGAATGACCTTCCTTCTCGGCAGTTTCGAGCTGAGAGAAACTCTTGTTGCATCTCACCATACGGTCAGCAATTAATGTTAATAATTTTCTCGGCAGTAAAAATATACTTTTAATAGTATTTGTGCAACTCGAATAGGGAATATAGGACTACGTCTCGTATGAAACAACAACATATTTAAGACCTGATTCATCGTCTTTGTTGTCGCGAACGACGTATACAGTTTTGAAATATTTTACCAAGAAAAATCGGGGGCAGCTCGAGCGAAGGTCGCATCGCAAAAGCTCATCGTTTTTTTTACGGAGAGCGCGATAAAAGTAAATGCGACAAGACTTGGTCCGAGTTTAAGCCACAATAAACGAACGAACGCCCGTGATGGGATTTATAGAAATTCAGTTTTACGATGATACAATCTCTAAAAGTATAACCGGCATCGGAAAAAGGAACTGTTGGTATCGCATTCCAGGCACCTAACGAATTTAAATATGCGATGTGTTTCAAAACGGTTAGAAAACTACGGGATAGGTTAAATTAGAGATAAGTTTGGAAATTTTAATTGGATTTATCCTACCAGAACGGCATAACATAACTTAACAAAAAAACACCAATGGACATATACCCAGGCAATGAAGAAAAATTCATTCATTATCTTGATAATCAAAAATCCGTATTATTATAATTATAGGTTTTTAGCCTTTTTCCTGTAATTAACTAAAAATCTACTGCTAATTTGTCGATCACTTTAGGAGCTTTATGTGGAAAAAATCTTTGTGATCTGTGTGATGTGGAAGTAAAACTTGCAACTATTTTTTCCTTATATTAGTGCTATTTAGCTCCTTAAAAGACAAATGAGCTGGTTGGTTTTTAACATTTTGTAAGTAATGTTGAGGTTAATTTAAGCTTCAAGAGTTTCTGTTTGGATTGCCTAACTATTTCTGATTTCCTGCTTAGGTTTCCGCGCATGATCATCTAGAAATATTTCCTCTTCGAATTGTGGACAACAGAACTGGGTTAAAACCGGATATTAATTTTATTTCAATTATTTTTTATCAACACTTTTTATCATCATATCACCCATTTTATCATTCGGTGGGTGTAATGAACTTATAATGGTTATTATAGCTTCAAATTTAAGTGGCGCTATACTTTTTGTTTTTTTTTTAAGTCTGCGCTTCATATTAAATCTGGAAATATGAAATGAAAACCCAAACCCAATATGGAAGGCCTATAAAAAATGATATATTAAATAATATATACCTTCGAAGAAGTACTGTTCGACAATTAATTCTACTATTAACACATGGACGATTGTTTCTTAAGAAATGTTATCATACTGTAATCCATATTTTTTATATTTGAAAAATAAATAATTAATCAAAACTAACAACTACATTAAGATGAAGCAAATATCAGCTAACAATTTCTGCAAATGATTTATAAAATTCAATTAATAATAAAATTGTTGTTTAAAATCTTTTCTATTAAATTTTCACCATATCATCTTTTTTCGTAATTTTAAGTTTTAACAAGAGTTATTACGGTAGAAGCAGAAGTTAGGATGCTCTTTGTTTTGATTAATTTTGGTTAATTATTAGTTGCTATTTACATTAGACAGAGTAGTTGGGTTATTATTGAGTTATTTATTTATTTCAAAATTTAAAAGAAAAGTTTGTACGCGTTAATGCGTTAGAAAAGTTTTCTTTATCTATTTGAACTATGTTAAACTGTTTTTAACCAAACTGCGGACATATTTTCGAGGTAATCTGTTAATTTGGAAATTGATGTTAACGACACCCCGTATTTTTGCCAACAGTGCTGCTGTGCTGTGAAATACAAAAGAATTTGTCTTTTATCAGGTTACCGTTCTACCTAGAGCTTCCTGTGGACGTGCACACGAGATTGCTTACGCACAAATGGCACGAGCTACTTGTGCTCACCACTTCGGCTTACCAGGCCATCCAGAAGACTGCAAACGAGCAACAAAATACAACCCCAGCCACCACATCGATAGAACATAACTTTAGCCATGAGGTGAGTCATAATATTTTCGTTATTCTGATATTTTATCTACTTGGCTCTAAATATGAGCATTTTAAATATTTTCAAATTACAACAAGAAAGTTTCGTCCCGAATCTCAACGGTATCACAGAAAACCAAAAAGAAATTTGTGTGCATTCCTTTGAAACAAACCTTTGAAATAATGCTTCAACAAAGAATAATCCGCAGTGTTATAAACATCACAAGTATACCGAGAGTGTTTGGGCGGCAACATCTTACTATCGCAACAAAGGTAAATTTACACTAATCATATTAACAACATTTAAAGACAAGAAAGAACAAGCAGAGGAGAAGAAATATTTGAAAATTATATTCAAAATTACAACAAAAATAAAACGAAAACAAATGGTAATGATAAAACTTACCGGTCTTTTTAAAATTACACGTCGTTTTTAAACATTGAAGAGATAAATTTCAAAATTAACGGAATTTTCTTTTTTGCAAGAAATCCAAGATCGTAAAACAAATTTTTGTTAAATATTTCATTATCGTGGTTTGTTATAGTCGAAATATCTCATTTTCCTAAATTTAAGCGATGAATATCAGTGAGATTTACAAATTGATCAAGTAAATAATGCGGCATTATAAATGTTATGATTTTACAGTCAAAGTAGAAGAAGTTGTACAAACGCCAACTCAAATCTCTCAATCTATATGAAACCCACCGACGCCGATTTTTTCCAAAACAACCTAATGAAGGTGTTATCCACTATTTTTATCTTTCTGAAAACAAACCACTAATTTAAGTAAGTTCTGCTGACCTTTCGTGGGTGTGATAGATAGAATTCTCATTCTCCTTTCACGCCTATAGTTTAAACAGTGTATGGTAATCCATAAAGTTAAATGAACTAGAAACAGAAAGTGTGGCGTTTTGTAATTTTTTGTTTTTGTAACCGACATTTGCGACAAATGCGAAATGCGTCTTTCTCCATAGAGTACTACTGCGCAGCTAAAGGTGATATACAAATGTCGCATTTAACAGCTAAAAACTTAAATAATTTTTCTCGGAAATAATTTCAGGATCAGGTCAAAAAGTTACCCGAACCTAGCAATTCCTTTAATAAATGTTCTTTCAAAATGTAGCTTTTTTCTATAATTTACTTTATATTACTTGCTTTTATTGTTTCAATCGTTTGATAGATTGCAAAGTTTTATGAGGCTAGATGGGGAATTAGCCAAAATATCCACCTGTGTGAAAATTGCACTTTCTTTTATAAACTATAAATTTTACTGCGAAAAACGCTCTAGAGACATGAAGGTATTAAGCAAAATTAATCAGAAAAGGGCAGTGAATCTTAAGCCAGAATGGTACGTGTTTAATCTAAAGTCTTTGCTATATATTACTAAGAAAGACAATAGAGCAGACTCTAAAACTTAAATTCCCAAATTTTCAAAAAAATCTATTTTTGGATATCCGAAAACGAGTGACCTTTCATTGAGCATCCTTGGCCCGGTATGGCCGATATTTTTTTAAAGATCTGTTAGGAAGTTTTGTAAGCAATGATCTAATCTCAAGGGGCAGAGAATCTGAAAATGTAATAAAACTAATAAAATAACTTCTTTTCTATATGTTATTGTTAAGTTTTGTTTTTTGTTATGTCTTTATCCTGGCATGTATGGCCTTTGTGTTAGTTATTATATTAAAATTTTAAAGATGTGAATACGAAAAGGAAATATAGAAGAAATAATTAAATTAATTTGTATATTGTTTAATTAATTTTATTTCAAATTTCAAGAATTTTATATTCCAGGTTTCCAAAAAGTATGAAAACGGTGTAAATCTCGAGAAGTACACAGTTGATCAAAAAACAAAAGATGCATTTAAATAGTTAATAAAAGAATGCTCTAAAGGTTTATTAACATGTCACACACTGTACTTTTTCTATGTGGCATTACTTTTCCATTTAAGACTTCAAAGTTGGATTTGGAAAGGGGGGGTGGGGGTTGTATGAGGTACTATGTGGCAGTTTTTGGAATCCAATATTAAAAAGCTTTTTTTGTTTTCTGACCAGTGGTGTAATTCTCGAGATATTCCACTGTTTCGAAAGGGAAGGGGAAAATATATAAAGGAAAAGTAAGAAAAGAAAAGCATTATTATTTTCTTTGTATAATTCAATATACAATAAATAACTTAAAAATTCAAAACAGTAATCAATAATTGTTTCTTTGTTTAAATATAATTTAATATACAATAACAATTAATTCAATAGCATATTGCATAAAATTAGATAAGATTAATGCTTAAAAACATAAGTAAGTGTGTAGTAAGAATTGTATCTCAAAATATCGTAAATCCCTGGCTCCAGTTTAAATAAAATGCATATTTTTTAAGATCAAAATTTTTTATCTACATTGACAGGACGTGAGGACCGCATCAATTATTTTATTTTTTAATTAGCATCATCAAACTCTGTCCTCTTGTCATACAAAAAGTTTTCCGAAGCACTTATTCGAGTTCCCGGTAGATTGCGCCGTTCAAAATTATAATAAACGGATAAAATACGTCACACAAGGACTTGTTTACAGTTTTCCGACACCGGGTGGTGAACGGAAGAGGAAAATCGGAGCAGAATCGCGGAGACCTTGTGTCATTGCTGCCTCGTGCTGATTGGTTCGCCAAAAATAATTAGGCCAGCGAATTGCGTCGCTTCTGTTGTTCGTTGTTCGCGGATCGGACGCGGACTGTGCCCTACGGCACCGGATTTGGGTCGGGAATGGTTTACGATAACGGAACTACTATCGTCCTTATTTAAAAATTCATGCGAGTTCATGCAAATTTCGATGGCGAACGACTGGATTTTATAGATGCCGCTTGCGACGAGGTCTAACGTGTTTGCGTCGAACGGGGTCGTGCCGCTGCGCCGCCGTGTTTCGTCGAAACGTAGTTTACTTAATAAATTGTGCACGGTTTATCCGCCACGCTTCAGGAGCTCGTCACGTGAAATGCGAGCAAACGTATCGTAGCGAACCCTTCAAAACATGACGATGGATATTATTCTGAAACACCGTTCATTCGCTTTGTTGAGTACATCGCCGTATATCTTCATTACATCTAGGGGCATACCGTGATAACGTAGAGATCTTAGGGATTTTTTTCACTTCTCATGAAATTTCACCGTTCATTGATTGTTAACGGGTTTATAAAGTATTTTTTCTGATATTATTTTGATTTCAACATTTCTAGTTTTTGTTGAGATTAAGTTAAAGGTTAGATTATGTCCGCGTTGCTTTCTTTATTTCAAGGAATTTTATTTGTGAATTACAATCACAACTTTAGAAGAAACCGCCCAATGAGTTTCCAGACAGACTTTTTCATTTATGCATAATTTTAACAGGTCAGAGAAAAATGTCCAATTTTTGTCGAAGAATTTGGAGTCCTATAAATTTCTCCATGACATTAAATAGTCGTTTTTATGATACATTGCGCTACCATTGAAATACATATAACAACAAAAATAAATACATAAAAACAAATGTTGAACTGAGGTGGCTTTTACTTGATGAAAATCCATTTAACATTTTAATTTGGTTCTGCTCTACACTGAATACGTGCCTCTCGAACAATCTGTATTTTCAGAGAATGCCTTCCCAGTATACCGGAAGGTTCATCAACCTTATTTTTTTTTTATAAATGTGCCCGATTCTTTGACTCCTAGTACCTAAACCTAAACTGTTTAAAAAAAATTGTTTAAGCCATTCAAACTGAAAAATGGCTTATAATATTTATGCTTTCAATTGTGTTTGTTATTCTTAGTTTTCTTAGCACAAATTTTCATTAAGTTTTAGTTTAATTTTTCCACACCATTAATACCAGAATAAATTTAACTACTTTTAGCTTTACAATTTCAATGGTGACGGTTACCGCGGTCATATTTGGATACATTTTTGATAAAATATCGTTTTTTTTTTTAATTGTGAAAATGAGGTTTAAATTATTGGCCATAAAGCCTACCATATTTTCCATAATTACTAACGGCGTATTTTAGCTCAGTTTAAATAAATTTAAAGTAACTAACTTTAATATTAATTTTATGTTTTTCAAAGAAACTTCCTCGGGCTGTGGCGTCGCAGGAGAAATCCAGAAGGATCAATTTTATCATTGATTTCAAGATTAAATTTATTTATTTTATTTATGATCCGCAGAGCAGACATATACAAAACATAAATTGAAATTGAACTGAGGTGGCTTTTACTTGATGAAAATCCATTTATGAAAATAAATAATAATAAAAAGACACGGTGTTGTCGAAACAATTGTCTTGTCATAATATATAATTTCGTGAAAATCTGAACTTTTAGTTCTTATTTATTTTGATAAATTGAAATCACTGTGTTAGCAATATATTAAAATGCTTGAAAATATACAAAATGAATTTATATTTATATATTTAATATTTTAAATATAAATTATTTATTTATTATTAATTATTATTTATTATTATTATTAATTATTTTAAATATAAATTTAATTAATAGGAACCGAAATTGAAAATTTGGCTATTTAAAAAAGTTTCAGATTTCTAAATACTGACAATAAAACGTTTTTTCCTTGTAAAGGCTACGCAATGGCAAAACATTTCAAAAAAACAGTCGAGGACTACAAAAATTTCACTATTTTGGATTCCTTTGAGTTGGAAAAACAATGTTTGTTAGTTTTATGGGTTTTACATTATTGTTATTGTAAACATAAAAAATAAAATAAAATAAATAATGGAGAAAATACTAACAAAACAAATTAAAAAGATTGTTTCTTATTTCATTCATTAAAAAAAATTGAACAGATTTTTTTATAAAATGGATCTATAATTACTAAATATTTAACGTATTCATTTAACACAGTTTCTTGTAGATTTTTCTCCATCTCGATAATTTTCAGTAAATTTCAAATTTTTTGACCATTTTTTTTTCCAAATTAGTTAAACTAAGGATTGAAAACACACCCACAAGTGAAGATCTCAAAAATTGTTGTGTC